CCTCAATTTAATAGACTGTGATTCACATTGAAATGAACCGTAGTCACTGCGATCGCTGGGACCGTATTCAAAGTAGATGGAAATTGGGTATTGCCCACCCGAAAACACTGCACAACCACGACGCGTTTCGATGTAATTTTTCATCTCATCAGGTGGAGACAGCAGGATTTGAACCCAGGACCATTGGAATAGCAGCCAACACTACTACCCCTTTGGCTACCGGGTCACGATGGGCAATGCTTTTTGTCACAACGGTAGATGACTAATTGGAGGGTCAAGTTTGGATTACACGTTGTGTGATTGGATTGCGACACGCAACCTCAATTTAATAGACTGTGATTCACATTGAAAGGAACCGTAGTCACTGCGATCGCTGGGACCGTATTCAAAGTAGATGGAAATTGGGTATTGCCCACCCGAAAACACTGCACAACCACGACGCGTTTCGATGTAATTTTCATCTCATCAGGTGGAGACAGCAGGATTTGAACCCAGGACCATTGGAATAGCAGCCAACACTACTACCCCTTTGGCTACCGGGTCACGATGGGCAATGCTTTTTGTCACAACGGTAGATGACTAATTGGAGGGTCAAGTTTGGATTACACGTTGTGTGATTGGATTGCGACACGCAACCTCAATTTAATAGACTGTGATTCACATTGAAGTGAACCGTAGTCACTGCGATCGCTGGGACCGTATTCAAAGTAGATGGAAATTGGGTATTGCCCACCCGAAAACACTGCACAACCACGACGCGTTTCGATGTAATTTTCATCTCATCAGGTGGAGACAGCAGGATTTGAACCCAGGACCATTGGAATAGCAGCCAACACTACTACCCCTTTGGCTACCGGGTCACGATGGGCAATGCTTTTTGTCACAACGGTAGATGACTAATTGGAGGGTCAAGTTTGGATTACACGTTGTGTGATTGGATTGCGACACGCAACCTCAATTTAATAGACTGTGATTCACATTGAAATGAACCGTAGTCACTGCGATCGCTGGGACCGTATTCAAAGTAGATGGAAATTGGGTATTGCCCACCCGAAAACACTGCACAACCACGACGCGTTTCGATGTAATTTTTCATCTCATCAGGTGGAGACAGCAGGATTTGAACCCAGGACCATTGGAATAGCAGCCAACACTACTACCCCTTTGGCTACCGGGTCACGATGGGCAATGCTTTTTGTCACAACGGTAGATGACTAATTGGAGGGTCAAGTTTGGATTACACGTTGTGTGATTGGATTGCGACACGCAACCTCAATTTAATAGACTGTGATTCACATTGAAATGAACCGTAGTCACTGCGATCGCTGGGACCGTATTCAAAGTAGATGGAAATTGGGTATTGCCCACCCGAAAACACTGCACAACCACGACGCTCTG